CAGGGCAGGAATCACTGTTTCCTTCATGTCTTCAAATGTCTTGCATGCTTGAGGTGCCAAAGTAGACTTTAATGGTGGAATGGGTTTTCCTATTATTTTAGGGGCCACGCGACAGTTACTGAAAATAAAATTTTACAATGAATGATCCTAGTTATCTAGAAGTACTATTTATTTCAAAAGAAGCATTAAACAACATGTTTACACAAATGCTTGGTGTATAATACATACTTTCGGTATAGTGGCTCGATGAGAGCATGTAACATGTTACAGAGAGCGACAGCGGGCCGCTGTGGCATGATGTTAGTGGGCAGTCGGGCTGACAGGGACGCGAACTCACGCCATGCATTCACCTTCAGTAAAGCTTCACATAATACCAATTTTTGGTTGCTCCAGTATTCCTAATGAGAAGGAACAAAACTCAGTCATTGCAAAAATATATAATCCACACAGTATCTCAATATGAGATTTTACATCATTATATTACTTAAAAATCATATTTAGGAAAGTAAAAAATAAATTAAAAAATAAAATATAATGTATACCTGAGGATCTGACTTTTCTTCAACATATTCAGCAGCTCCATTGGCTTGTGGCCCCTTAGTGGACACAATGCTTAGTTTACGAATGTAGTCTTGGACTGTTTTCAATTCCTTGTCTGCTTCCTTTGCCATTATAGAATCATCAGGTCTGAGCTAAAATATTAATTATGACTATAGTTCATAGTTTTGCAATTATAAGTTTATAATGCAGTTATTTAAAAATATGCTAATACTTGATTGCCTCAACATAATGCTGAAAGCTTGATTGCCATGAGAGACAAACACAGGTCTCATTTTCTGTTTTTCTTTTTCGATTTCTGAGAAATCTCAGATATAGTATGAAGTCGGCGCCTGGTATTTACCAGGTATATATTCACCAAGCTCACTCTCATTACGTAGAACTCATAAAGTAGGTATTACTTCGAACTTGTATTCCTCTGCCAACACCTTTGAGGTGTGGATATTATAATCATGTTATGTAAAATTAAAATAACTACTTACCCAGGGATAGATATCATCAAGAGCAATGACTTGGTGTTGTAAAAGTAAAGCTATGACTGTCATCAATGGCGGAGGTTCCTTATAATTCTCTAGTACTTCCATGTTCCCTAACTTAAAGCCCAAAACTTCAGAAATTACTTGAGGATCACCCATATAATTTTTTATAAGAGGTATAAACAACTGATCAGAGTGTGTACGGGACTCAAATGATTCTAGTATTATATCTAATGCTCTGTTGGGGTCTAAGTTAAAACAACCTAAAATGAAATTAAAAGAAAATAATTATCATAAATTCAAATCACTGTATCACATAGATCTACAACTCATTTTATAATTAGTAACACTTACCGATTAGAGACTGAATTATTTCCAGTAAACTTTTCCAATCTGCCTTATCAACACCTTCATGATTTAATTCAACAATTAACTTGGAATAACCTTCACTTTCTTCTCTAAACAAATTAAACTTACGTTGCTTGTAACTGAAATAGAAATTGAATTTAGTACTATGGATGACATCATTACAAAGAAATTCTATACATTTTTTCTCGTAATAATGAAACAGAAAAATAAACAAAAAAATAAATACTTACTACAACTTAGTCTTGATTTTAATAAATTTGGTATAAAATAGTTTATTCTTTAAAGTACCAGCATCTTGCAATGTATCAATTTCTAATCTTTCTTTTAAAAGTTTATCCGATAAAAAAGACTCCAATTCCCTAACGATGTAGCAAAAGTTTGTGCGCTCTTCACTTTGGACATCTGAACAGGTCTCAGCATCAAGAACACTCACTACATCTAAAATCACTGATGGTATGTCTGCGTGCAATACCTATAAAGAATTATAACTCATTAGTACAAATTCAAATTATTTAACATCCATTGTCCATTTTAACATTTAGTAGAGACTATAACATTTATATGATCATAAAACTTACTGTTATATCACGGAGAACAGAAAGAACAGCTTCTTTCTTAAGGTTTCCACGAAGACCACAGAGTAATAAGTCATACATGGTCTGAGACAAACCAGAAAGCTTGCCGGATTTAGTAAAAAGTGGACTTTTGTCTTCATCCTTAATGAATTGTGTCACATGTTTTACACTGAAAGTAAGGAATGATTAAATTAACCACGAACCCAAATACATTGTTTATACACTAGCTACTTCCCGCATGATTTTACCCATTCTGCTCGGCTCTTATTGATTGTACCGTGATGTTTTATAGTCTATAAACTTCCTCCATAAATAAAGTATCTAACACAAAAATATTTTTTCCAAAAAGAAGTTCACTTCAGTTTTAGTAGTTCCCAAGATTCAAACAAACAAATCCTTCAGCTTTATATAATAATAGATAATAGAAAAAAGATATAAGATGGTGTACTATTCTTCTATCATTTACTAAATTATACATGACTAAAATGTTTAAGAGTTTGTAAACAAGTGCAGTACTCAGTGTAGAAGGACATTAAAAACATGAAATTTAAAATAGGATATTAAATGATTTGTTATAAATGACAAAATGGATGTTAAGAAAACTTAACCAAAAATGATAAAAATAATATATACCTATATTATTTTTAGGCAAGGCTTTTTTTTAAGGGGGGAAAATCGTCGAATGACAGCTCCCGCCTGGGTGAGGCGGGAGGGAGTGTCAGACTCTAACTGACTAAAAACCACCCCGTTCCTTCTCCTGCACGTCGAGCCGGAGCCCCGGTTACCCGTTAGGTTCTCCGCGACTACTTATGGCAAGGCTAGATTGATGTATTCATTAATTATTTAATATAATGCAGTACAGAACATGTTTTGGAGCACAGTGCACTTAACGATGTATACATATACCTAGTAAGTACTAGGTAGTAATCTGAACAACACTGGATTTTTTTTGTTATTATGATATGAAATATTAATTCTTTAACATTTTTAAATTGGTTTTGCAATCCATTCGCCTTTAGGAGCTATTATGTGCACAAAATAGGAGTATTAAACTTGTTAAACAATAATTTTAAGTAAATGAGTAGGTAATTTAAATCTTCCATTAGGTCTAGCATGTGCAAAACATAAAATAGCAATGTTCAATGTACTTTTATGTATGGACTTTTAGTAGCAATTTCAAGCCAGGGCATTTTTTGAATGTACTCTTTGTATATCCATTTGTATTGACACTATTAATGTTTTGTAATATTAAATTACTGGACAACAGACTCAGTCGTCACTATTGTTAAACAATTTAGAATCTGAAACTCACAATTGCTCCTTTCCGGATTTCTCCCAAGTTTTACAGTAATCGGAAACAAATTTCGCATATGATCCCATGATTGAGATCGTACAAGAATATTGTAATTCCCAGTCAATCTAAAATATTTCAGCAAAGCAAAGCGCACGCTGTCGCCATGATTGATTTGATTTTTGATTGGTGTCTTCTTGTGTCTTTGATGAGTCTTTGGTCAAACGTTTTTTTTTTCAGACGACGTAATGGCAGAAATATATTAGCGTGGCGCAACGTGTCGTTGTGCTCCCAGCCCAATATGTCACTGGCATAATGGTTCCATACATGTATTGTACATAAATACATAATATACCTTGAGATGTAGCAACGAGACTGGCAATGAAGTGAGAAGTGAGAATCTTGTGAGAAGTGAAAATATTATGCAATTCGATTCAGTAGTTGCAGTGATTAGCGCGAATAGTAATGTACAAAAATTTAAATTATGAGGAAAGCAAATTGAAACAAAATATAACATACTCTATTTCATAGGGCATGCATGTTTTTATACTTTTGATTTGATGGGCCCGGGGCCGAGCGACGTTTCGACACTATCTCACACGGTAGTAAGCGATGATGCAGCCTACGATGGTGCACATCTGAACTTTGAAATATGCCAACCAAATAAAGTCACGCGAGTGATCAATTTCGTCAGATAGTTCTTTAGACTAATAAAGTCATAGTTTTGGTGTATGATAAATGGTGGACTCTGAGTTAAATACATTTTCTGTGCTATAAACTGGACAAATTTCATGGAGCCGTTACCACCAATCGGCAGCAAGCATTTTGGTCACCTATGTAGCAATACATGACTAATATTCACGACATAAGTAAAATATGAAACCAATGTGGTTCTGATGCACTACGCCAAACTTCGCCATGGTAATGTGTTTCCGCCAAGACTCAGGACAAGAATCTCTATGGTCTAATTTCTATGCTTAGAACTGTCACTGTCAAACTTAAAAGTAAAAGTGACTAGTGACAAGTGGTGACAAGTGTCAAATGTAAATTGTAAACCTAACCTATAATTATTGAGTTTCATATTATTAAATTGAATTAAAAATGCCGACTTACGAAGTAGCTTTAATGTTGCGTTCTATGCCTAAACCGGAACTTAAAACTACTCTTAAGCGAATTTCACATGCAATATTTGACCGAGGCGGTATAATCAGAAACATAGAAAACTTGGGACATAGACCTATGCCTTACAAAACTACTGCTCATGGACTAGTTCATAGAGAGGCAAATTATTTTGTATTTAAAATTGATACAGCAACAAAAGCAGTTTCCGATCTAAAAGAAGAATATAGTAGAGATGTCGATGTTATAAGACAACGTGTTTTTAAAAGTGAAGAAAGTGGCAGCAACCATTGTACTCTGGAAGAAGAACTCCTACCTCCTGCTTACCGAGACGAGGTTAAGAAAATGATTGAAGTGGGCAAAACACAAGTAAATCGTTTCACTTACAAATTTAAATACAATTCTGGTCTGGATTATTACCCATTCCAGAAGTGAGTACATTTAATAGATAGATAGTAGTAGTGTTTAATTGTTAATAGTGTACCTAGAATTTTAGAAATAATATACCAATAAATAATTGATAAGTGTTTTAAATAATATTTTTATTCTTTCTATTATTCAGTTGATTCATTGCCTACTGGAATATGAAGTGTCATTGGTGATATATATTTTATTGACATATTGTCAAGAATTTGTCCTATCCTATAAATAGGTAAATAATGTATTTCAAGTGGAGATATTATGCACTCGTAAAATTAGGTTTGAAGGAACAGGTGCATAGTAAACCTGCACATAATAGGAGGTATTACTCACAAAATAATTCTAACTCAAGAATAGAAGAGTTAATAAATATACAAATTAAAGCAGAGCAACAAGCCAGCCAGAATTATTTAAATATAGCTGTGACTTTTTTACATCCGTCTAAATCACTGTTAGGTGTTGGAGGATTCTTTATGAAAATGTATAATGATGAACTAGAACACATGCACAAACTCATAAATTATCAGTTATTACGAGGGGGATCTCCCTTGATATCTGGCCTTGAACCACCCAACCAACATAAAAATCTTACTATACTTGATGCATTTAAAGAAGGCCTTTGTATGGAAAAAAATATAACTGAGGTAAGGAAAATGAACATTTTCATTTCTCAACATTAATATTTATTATTAATTTCACTTAGCTTTGAAATTAACTTGTCCTTTTTGGTTTAATTCACCAGCTTATAGAAAAAGGAATAAAACTTGCAGAAGAAGTCAAAGATTTTCATTATGTAGATTTTATCACATCTGTATTTTTAACTGAACAATTCCAATCAATACATGAGTTTGATCAACATGTAACCAAGTTAACCACATTAAAAAACAATGATGCTTTTTATTATCTCTATGACATGGAGCTACAAAAGAATTATCCACTTTCACATAATATTAAAAATCTGTTTAAATAACTAAAGAGAAATACAAGAACAATGGATTTATTAAAAATACATACATGGACTTAAAAATCATTTGAAAAGCTAAAAGGTTTTTTTACTTTAGCTGTATGTTAGTTAATATTACTCTTTTAAGACACATTTTTGGAGAGTATTTTAATAATATCATCCACTTTACATTCTTTCAAAGCTGCTTCAAGCTTAGTACTTTCATTATTAAAGTTTTCAAGTAAGGATAGTGTTCTCCAGTCCAAATACCATTGTAATATTATGTCTGAAAATATAAATTATTTGTAAATGTTTTGTAAAAATTAAATAAAACAATCACACATCAAATAATACCTCTTAGAATGTTACTTATTGTTAAATTATGTGAACTTAACTTACCTACAAGCTCCTTGAATCGAGTTTCATTGATACTGTCTCTTGAATCCCAGACTCTAGCATAGTCTTGACACAATAAGGGACCTTCCTCATTCATTGAACTGTCCAAATCCAACATACTGAAATGTTTGGGAAACCTTATTCACTTTTTGGTGAAGTAAGTCAATAGTCACCTAACATAGCCCAAATAAACTTACAAAGATTTTTACAATAACTGTAATATGGACCCACCTGATAGCATTTTTCAAGATTATATCTTTACTTTTCTTATATTCTTGTTTAAATTTATTTTCCAACTGCTTAAAAGATTCTAAACAACTATTATGGGGAATATCTGCAAATAAAATATATATTTTTAAATGTAGCCCCATTTATTAGCCCCAGAATAACAGCAATATTGTAGGTAGGTAAACATGGGTCACACAAAAATAATTTTGAAATGGTCGACCGGTTACTGCACCAACAAACCCGTTCAATATTCGAAAATATAAAATGAACGAATATTTGTTTTATTTCACTTACCACAGGACATTTCCACGCGAATGCTCTTCTCGACGGAGCAGTTCGACACTATGTTTCGAATGGTCGCTATTGTTGAGACGTTATCAGATTTGAATGTTGCGTGCCCTCGTCTGCAATATAGATTAAGTTGTAGATATTAAGGAAAATTAAATGCTATTTCGAATATAAGCAACTCACTCATATTGACAAACGAGGATGGTGTCCAGAAGAGTATGTGATCGAGTAAATGATACATTCGAAGCTGGTCTCGGCAGTTCACCCGGTAGTGCTTCTGTGAGCCAAGAAGTAATTTCAGCCACGGAAAAGTTACCCGAAATCTCCAGTTGGCACCAAACTCTATAAAAATTGCACTTATAAAAGGTGTGTGCACATCAATACATTCCAAAAATTCTAATAACAATAAAGAAAATACCTTTCTTCCTTTTCAAAGTTCTTCTCTAATGTTTCATGGCTAGAATAGTATGGCAAAGCTGGTAGTTTTAAAGTAACTAGTCGGGCCACTCTAGGAGCACCTGCTGGTAAAGCGTATATCAGTACTCGACTTCCCTCGAATTTAGACCCCGTAGATAAATTTGAAATTTCACGCATCTTTACCCAAACTCTCCTTGTTCCTGCTTGACATCTAACTGAAGCCAACAAATCGGATGCGGCCTCCTAAAAAGTTTCAATTTTCAAGTAATTAAATAGTCTCAGCTCAGTCTAGTACCCACCTACTATTTGCACATGAAGTCAATATTAATTGCCATTCTCTACAAAATTTCACTTATTAGGTACAAACATTCTTGCCTAATTTTAAATTAGATACATGCATTCATTTATTCGTACCCGGGATTCATTCAATCTTCATTCAAACTTCTTTTGAATCCATAATAGAAGACTGAATCTGAATACTTATATCGTAAGTAAGTAGGTATCCATTTGATGATGGTACCTTGGATGAGCATATGCTGAGAACTGCAGCAGTGTCAGTTTGCATTTCCAGTTTCTTATTAGAATTAATAAAAAGCATGTCAAGGGGCACTGCTGAGGTAATTCTTACTTCTTGCCATCCGTCATTAGTTGCTCCCAACAGCTGTAAAATTCAGTTAAGTCTTTTTGTAGATATCTTAATATAAATCTAAAATAGCATATTTCCATTTCGAGACGTTGAAACCCACTTCATATTCTATATCCAGTAGTGGTGGAGTTGATAACCCAGCTTGTAAAGATCGAGTATTACGTTGATATTTTTCTCTTTCATTTGCAGTTTGTTTCTCCAAACGCGCTACTTCCACCCTGATAAGAATAAATGCCTTGAATTTAAATAAAAAACACAATTTAGGTCAAGACATTTTAACTTTTCCATGTTCCCATTTTTTATATCGTTAGGTACCTACTTATTCAGAGGGCCATGTAAAGAAAAGACGTAGCTTGGCAGCCATAAAAATGTACACAAAGTGAGTTAAATAGTAATTGACATACTCCAGCTTTCCTCGCCTTGTTGCCAAGATGTCTTGCGGAACTTTAGCTCCAGTAACCAAGTGACTAGATCTGAGACCGAAAATCCTTCCCGAAAATGTAGCTACCAGTAATTCAGATTCCTCGGTACCTAGGCACCCACCCACTACAGAAGTAACAGGTTCTCCGCAAAACTAAAAGATTAGTAATAGACGTAAGTAATCATAACACTTATTTAGTTATCTAAACAAGAGCATTACCAATACCATAATATGTATTGAAACTTACATAGGTGTACTTAAGTCGAGGTTTTTCACCAAAATTCTCCATATCGACAAGGTAAAGTTGAATGGATCCATCATGTCGACCAACGCTAAGGTGGAAATTGCCGTTGTTAAAATACCAACCAAGACATACCACGGACCCCAGACCTCTGCCATCAACTAGGCATTTACTTGATAGCGTTATTCTGGAAATTTGTAAATAGGTATGTTGTTGGTTTTAAAAACTTTACTAGGTACCCTACATATAACGAACTGACTTCGAGGTAAAATCGTTCGCCTATATATATAAAAAAAACACTTGCTCTTCATAAGTAATGATGCCTATGGATCCATCACCAGCTCCGTAGAAGGCTATAATATCCGTGACATGTGTAGAAGGCGGAACAGCCAAACGCGACGGGCCCGACGATATTATGGTGCGAGATATCAGTTTTCCATTTTCTAGAAGAATGGCTCCTTTATTGGCAATTAATACCAACAGTCGAACTCTTGTGCTCTGAAGTCAACATTAAAATATTTTGAAAAAGTTTAACTTTTGTTCGAATGAATAAACAAATAAATAATTCTGACATTAGGTACCGCAAATGCTGCTATGTCGAGAACTCTGTCGTCACAAACGTATGAATTATATTCTTGTAAATCTCGGTAATATGTGACTATTCGTCCGCTACAAAGTATTAGATCACTTCCTATTATACACCTGAAATGTAAACACCTTTAAAAAGAAATATAAACGGCCCCTAAATTAGGTACATTTAGATATTAAATAAATTATATAATAAGCAACAAGAAAAATCAATGATACCATACCCCTATAAGTATTTAGTAATAGGTAATCGATCTACCAAATAACTTACATTGATGTGATTGTTTCTGTTAAAGAAGTTTCAATGCTTAGGAACACCTTTCCTTTTCTTGTATATCCTTTGACTTCATTACCTGATGCGGTGAATATTTTATCTGCTTGGGTTCCTAAAATTAAAATGTAAGTAGGTAGTAGATGCCCTAAGTATGAACTAAAATATCAGAACGAAGCGCGACGTTCCAATAATTAAATCATGTTCGTAGTGGTAGACCCACTACCATTTTGGTTTGGTTGGGTTAGGCTCGCTGCCATTGCAGCGGTAAGTCCCCTCTATGAGGATTGGCTTGAGAGACGCTATGGCGTCCTAACCTACCGCCTGACGCAGATCCTCACCGGACATGGAAGTTTCGGGAGGTCCCTGTGTCTGATGGGGCGGGAGGAAACGCCCGGGTGTCATTACTGCGAGGACCAAGTGTCAGACTCTTACGGAGTAAAAACCACCCCGTTCCTACTTAACCCGTTAGGTTCAACGCGACTCCGAATCAGTCCTATTGGGTCCCATCCGTGGTAGTCTGATGGCTCTTTGAGGCGCGTTGTACGCTCGGGGGTAGGTAAGTACCTACCTAAATTATATTGCTTACATTAACAGCTTACTAGCTGTTCAGGAAAGAGACAGCATGAGTAGGTAGGACTCGAGATAATATCTACCTAATTATATTATTAGTACCTATCTAGTATGTAACCTACTTCCTTAAATATTGAGTTTATTTTTTTATCTGTAGGTACATACCATAGGTACATACATACACTTTCATAGATGAGATAGATCTCACTCTATTTATAAACTAGGTACCTATATATCAAACAAAGAGGAATCGAGTCCCTCGTGAATCTCGTGATATAGTGCAGTCAAATTCTCGGTAGGTACCTACTTTTCTTTGTAAAATCGTGAATTCTATGCAAAGCGAAGGCTTAAACTGAAGAGAACAATATTTTCAACATACCTATTGAAGAGGCTAATTGAACAGAAGTTATTGGTTTCCCAGGTAATGTTTTAAATTGCACCACAGGCTCTTCATCTTTTATACTGAGACATTGCAAAACCCCATTTTTATCTCCAATGGCAAACTGAAATAGGATTTCATTAATATGGGTACGTACCTTTTTTTTTTTTTTAAGGGGGGAAAATCATCGAATGACTGCTCCCGCCTGGGTGAGGCGGGAGGGAGTGTCAGACTCTTACTGACTAAAAACCACCCCGTTCCTTCTCCTGCACGTCGAGCCGGAGCCCCGGTTGCCCGTTAGGTTCTCCGCGACATGGGTACGTACCTATAGGTAGTTAGTAGGTACTTACCAACTTAAATAATACAATACTTTTTCGGCCTACCTCATTAGGGAAATTAAAGTTACCTACCTTTTGTTCCATCTTTTGCCCAGATGGTGGTAATATTTTTAAAGTGTCTGGATAGGTAATACCGCATATTCCATAATCTATTCTAGATAAGTCGTAATCCATATTTTGTTCCTAATTACAGCGACAATTCTGTATTTGATGCAACACAGTGTTATTTAAAGTGCTCGATTTGTGTATAAAATAAATTCAATCAATAACACCTAGGTAACGAAAGTCTCAACAATATAGAGTAAGAAGATACTTCAGTACTTTTTATAAATAATAATACATTAAGTAAATAAATAATAATCAAAAATCTATATTTGCAACCACTTTACACGCCTGTGTTTGTAATTGAAATATTGAAATAATATTTTATAATTTGCAATTTTAACTATTATAGTCGCATTGTGTTTGGGTTTGGATGATCCAATGTCATCACGAAGACACGAACTACCTATATTATTTTGTTTGTCAAGGCAGCTGATAATGATATATGCATGAATAATGTATTCATGTACTTAGGAAAATGTGAACCATTACCCGATATATTATTTTACTCTATGATGTGAACTAAAAAGAAATTGGTTTTGATCTGAAGCTTAATTTGTTTATATCCTGCACTATTAAAAAAAAAACGATTACTTGTTGATACCAAAAATGTCAACTCAATGTCAAAATTAAAGTCGAGTTCGTGTCATTCGTGTTGTTCAGGTTATATGTTCCCAGGATAAACATTTAATAAAAAATAGCAATATAAATCTTAATACCTATCATAATGGAGATAGATAAAGAGAATGTTGTACAAGCTGTGGTTATAATGGACACATTTAACAATCACTTCAGTCCTATTTGTGACAATAAACCCATGGTGAGTTAATTTTTAAAATTATTACCAAACAGACTTATATAAATTTAAATGCGTTTTTAAGGTCTGATTTTGATATTTTAGGGTTTACTGCAAGTCGCAGGAGTGCCTTTAATTGATTTTATATTGGAATCTCTGTCTCGTGGGGGAGTAGGAGAAGTGATTTTGTTTTGCTGTAAAGGTGGGCAAAAAATTAAAGATTATGTTCGGTATGTATTATGAACTATCCTGATAATCCTGTTAAAGTTTCATTAATTATATTTTAATTCCTTAAAATGGTGTACAGGAGTTGTGTTGAAAAGAAGGCAATATGGAGTGTTACTATGGAAGTCCAAGTGATGATGTCAGACACTTGCCAGACAATGGGAGATGTGATGCGAGAAATTGATGCTGCAGGACTCATTAGAGGGTACTTCGTGTTAGCTGGTGTTAACAGTATAACTAACATACATTTTGGGTCATTGTTGGAGCAACACAAGTAAGTAAACATTAGACAAGTGATTTTGTCAAAGATAAGTACATCAATAAACTTAATAATTATTATTGTATTTCAGACAGACATGTAAAAAGGATAAAGGTGCAGCAATGACACTTGTCTACAAAAAGGTGTCATGGGAGCATCCTTTGATCACTTCTGACAAACCTACATTTTTAGCAGCAAATGCAAATACTAAAAAAGTGCTAATGCATCAAAAGTATAAACCAAAATCAACTGAGAAATCTATCAACCTACCCTTGGTAAGATATTAATTTAGTATATTCTATAATATAATTTTGATATTAATTTATTCTTTTTGGAAAGGTTGCAAGGATTAGTCACTATTAAAGAGTTATTTATGGTTGTTTCAGGAAATTGTATTAAACCATTCAGAGGTGAAATTGCATCATAATCTAATTGATGCAAGCATAGCCTTGTGCTCACCCTCTGTGCCTCCACTATTTTCTGATAACTTTGATTTTCAAACAAGAGATGATTTTATACATGGTATTTTGATTAATGAAGAAATTCTTGCTAGCTCCCTGTACTACACACTTTTGAAGGGAAATCAATATGCTGCAGCTGTTACTAACTGGAAAACTTACCAAACAGTGTGGTAAGCTTGAATATTTTGACTAAGGTTTACATAAATGGCTTTATGTAACTTCTTCAGAAAGTTTACAAATATTTTTCATTCATTATTTTCATTATTATTTCAGCCATGATGTATTACACAACTGGACATATCCACTGTCCATTGAGACTGGTTTATCCTACCAGAACACCTATTTAAATATGGGTAATCATAATTTCCGCAATAAAAACTCAACATTAAGCAGGTACACTTAAGTTTTGAACTCTTAAACATTATTTATTACTTATTTTACTTATTATTATTAATTAAATTAATAAAATTATTTATATTTTCAGGTCAAGTTCCGTGGTTGAGAATGTTTTAATAGGTTCAAAAACCAACATAAATGACAATACTGTTGTAACAAAATCTATGATTGGGAACCAATGTGTTATTGGGAATAATGTAACAATCAAAGGAAGCCACATTATGAACAATGTTGTTATAAAAGATAACTGTAACATTGTGAATAGTTTTATTGATGATAATTGTATAATAGAAGAGAACTCAGTTGTGGAAAATGGTACCATTATAGCATCAAATGTAGTAGTCCAAGCAGGCAGTCAACTGCGGGGAAATATTCTGGAAAGCACTGAAGCTGAGAGAGGTTATTGAGTATTTTAATATTTTCTCAATACTTATATCAAAATTGTTTAAATTATATTGTTTGTCTAATAACATACTTTTTTTACAGAAAAAACTTTAATGAAATCAACATCGGAAAGCACTGAATGGGAAAATGAATCATCAGGCAGTGGTGGTGATGACTTCATTGGTTTTGAAAAAACTTGGAGTGACAGCGAGTCATGTTACTCATCAGATGGCAGTGATGAGTCTTCTTTACCTGATTCTCCTATCCCTGAGGATACAAACAGTAAGTTTCAGTTCAGATATTATAATAAAGTTTTCAATTGCAGTTGGATTTGCAATATTACTTAGTATTAATAAATTTACTCAAATTGTTATTTCAGTATTCTTACAAGAAGTCATTGACAGTTTGGCCAGAGGATATGAAGAAAAACTGAAGAATGATTATCTTATTTTGGAGATAAACTCGTCCAGATATGCATACAACATTCAGTTGCATGAAGTTAACTTCTTTGTTGTAAGAGCTCTGCTAAGTATCCCTGTGCTTGCTGATACAAAAAATGTTCTTAGCACTGTCAAGGACATTTTGAAATACTTTAGACCAGTTCTGTCTAATTATATTAAAACTAAATCTTCTGTCATGGACTGTTTGAGGGCTGTAGAAGTAAGTTCTATTTTGTTTTATTCTTCTCTTCGAATTAGCTTAGATGACGAAAATATAGGTTTAAAATAGTAGTTTATTAGTGTATCTGTAGAATTCACATTGTAACCTAGTAGAATTACTATTTTTTGGTGTACAGTAACATTATTCTATTGTATTCCAGGATAGTTGTATAAAATGTCAGTGGTTGGAGGGGAAATGTGGTCAAATATTACATTTGCTCTATGAAGCAGATGTTGTTGATGAAGACTCTTTGCTAGAATGGCGTCAAGACTTAGAAGAAAACGAGAGTCCTATTGCAAATCAGCCATCACTTGTCAAATTTTTCGAATGGATTGAAGAAGCAAGTGAAGAAAGTGATGAATCTGAATGATTTATGAAATTGTAAATAAAATATACATAGTTTATTTCTATAGATATTTTTTATTTGGCATTAAAACACATGAGTCAGCTGATATATTAAGAAAAAAAAATTACAATATAATATCTTAATCAAATGTTTTTATAAAATAATATTAGAGTATAGAAACTCCTAACGTATAGTAGCATATTGTTGGAACTGTACTGTAGAGAAATTTCTGAACTTGTTAATATCAAATGATGTTGGTTCACAGGGTGAATGAATTTTGATTTGGCGCATATGTGTATCTCTTCCATTTTGATGGTTGCTGAGTACTGCTATTTGGATCATGTAGGTTCTGATTGGCCTGTCATGAATATCCTTGATTGGTATCATTTCCCAACCTGAAAATACAAATGAGAATAGAAATGATGGCAAATATTAATTACATTATGTTGGTACAGTAGTATACTTATTATCTTGTTTGCTGCTATGACAAGATGTAAAAATGCAAAGAGCAGGGGAAGCTGTTTGTTCAGCAATGGACACCACCTAGCTGATTGTTGTCCCACTCACTATAACAATACTTTAGTGTAATGAATAGGGTACATACCACTAGGTTCAATCAGTTCAATCACTTCAATTTCTTGTAAATCATTGAAATGTGTTCCAGCTCGAATCGATATCCGGCTGGGTGTGTAACTTTCATCGAGCTTGTAATCTGTGTATATGTAGATGTGGGACACCATTGTTTTCCTTTGAAACTGAATGTTCACTAAGTGAGGAAGTTGCCCGTCAGATTGCCAGTATGTATCCATGCAGTCATCTCTTAACTGATCTATACCAAACCCTGATAACAACAACATTATAGTATAAACAACAAGCAGGTTTTACTCTTCATGTTCTTTCGAAGTCAAACATAGTGTAATTTTCAAAAGCCATCGGTTTTGAGAAGTATTTCTGGCTATATTATTAGTGGTAATAGAAGCAAACGTAATCAATGTTTCTGACCTGGCTTACAAGACGACAAACTCCAAATTGCGTGATTTCCAACTTCTCGAACGGTTCCCGATCTTTCGCTAACTAATGGGTCTTTTTCAGAAGACATTGTCTCGCTGATGTTGATTAGTTAATTCCTTAATGTTAATATCGCTTTTCTTGATAAAAAGAGAATATAAGTAAAATATTAAAACCGTTAAAGCGTATTTTGTTGAACAAGCGAAATCGACATTGTTTATTATGTGTTGACGTGACAGATGACAATTGACAATATTTAATTTTGACGTAAATGGCTGTATGTTAATTGACACTGACAGCACAGTTCAGAAATCTAGCTTCTGAAGTTTCAAAACAAACTGCTTTATTCTGTTTTTTTTTTTTTTTATAATGAGTGGACATCTAGCCATCTATTCACTAGGGCCTTGGAATAATTGAGTTTTATATGGGTGTACACCTATGTATGGCACCGACTTCTAACCTATCAGTGGGTAACCTATCATTAGATACTAAAAATAGTTAAATTTTGCTTTTTTTTAGTTTTTACTTTTTGTTTGTTATTAGTTTTTTGAAGTCGTTGTTAAACGCAGTTTTTATTTTAACATTTTTAGTGTAAAGCTACGTAGATCCGTTTTGCCACTTATAATCCGCATAGGTGAAAAATTCTAATCAGTACCTACAAATTATACAAGCCCAAACACAAGGTAGTTACTATAAACCATTGAAGAGTTCCCTTAACAATTACACTTCTTCATTATCAGACACTTAGTAATAGTCCCACTAAATCTAGGTGTAAAGTCCTCATCAATACTTTATCAAGCCCAAACACAAGGTAGTTAGGTACTGTATACCGTTGAGGAATTACACTTCTTCGTAATCAGACCCTTAATGACCGTCCAGCATCTAGGTGTAAAGTTCTCATAAATACAAATTAATCAAACGCAAATACAAGGTAGTTAATATGGACCGTTGAGGAGTTCTCTCGACTGTCTGTCCGTTCCATCATCAAATTGTAGTGTTTAAATACTAATTGAAAAATATAATAGACACATTACTCACCCCTACAAGTTTTGAAAGTTCCCCTCGGTTGCCCTAGGATTCCATCATCAGACCTGACTTCTTCTTCGGAAACGGGACCATCTCGGGAGTATACCCTTTTAAACAAAACAAGAATTTTGGAAATCGGTTCACAAATGGCGGAGTAATCAGCGAACAAATAAAAAAAAAGACAAAAAAAAACAATCAGCCGAACATAGTACCTACTCCTTTATTTAATTGTCGCTAAAAACAAATACATTACCTAGTGATTATTATTTGCTGAGTTATTCGAAATAAATTAGAAAAATAGCAGGCTTTAGAAAAACACATACATTACTGCTAATTATAGATCTTTTATTTACAAATAATATAAACTTTAATAAAATAAATAGGTACTAACTGTTACTAAATATAAAGAACTTATGATAAAAAATATTAGTATAATTATTATTTACTGGGTTATTCGAAATAAATTAGAACAATAGCATGCTGTTCTAAGTGGTTTCTGAGGAAATATTCTATGAAAGGGAAGACTGAGCTTTGTTTGTTACCAGTAATGTTATCAGTCTCATTGTTAGGACGAATCTATTGTTATTAAATGTAGATACCTTAGTACCTGGAAAAGTGAAACGATTAGGTACTAGAAACAAATGAATTTGTGTACGTACCTACTAAGTAGGGTACTTATTATTGCTTGTTACCGTTGTGGGCTCTTTTCTCACCCCCTTATTAGGGTTAGGATTAGAAACTAAGTTGTACCTGCCAACAAATACAAGGCATAGGTAGGTAGAGGCCGTAGACGTATGTGGCTAGTTCTTTGGTTGAGCCCAAGTAGGACTACTACCTCTATAACTTATCTTCGAACTACGATATTAAGTTAACACACGATAAATATCACAACATGAAAGAGACAAACAATTAAAAAAATATATCTGCTAAAATAATTAAGATACTTGATTAGGTACCTATTTACTATCAGATGCCTTATGCCTTAATGTGGTTTATATTATTAAAAGTTACTGTTCTGAATGATACTATGAATTATACCACCTTTAAGTGGCCAATGACCAAGTTACAAAGTTGTATTATAATTTGGTAAAGAAGTTATTCCAGTTTGTATGATCCCAAGTTTTGATACCAGTTACCTAGCTTATAGTGGGTTCCCCTAATTTAAAAAGATTTATGCAAATTGTTAAGTAGGTGAGAAAGCACATGGGTGCATATTTGTAGCAATATAGAATACAACATAGGTACTTAGGTACAATAAAATATAACAGTCGAAATGGTATGGAAGATTATTGGTTTTAATAAAACTACTAGATAGGTAGGTAAGACTAAGTACGTACCTAATATTCAAGCTAGTTGGTTTTAAACAAGCTTTTTGACAAGGATGGTTATATTAAAGGTGAGCATGTTAAGAAAATAAAGATTTTAAAATGTTCTCATTTTCTGTACAATTTCATCAGCGTTGCAGACGTCAGGAATAACCAGTATAAAAGCTTTCAATAGAAGTCACAGCTAAATTGAGTCAAAATAAGTGTAAGTATAGGTACCTACTGATAGCTTTTTGTTGCATTTATCTTACATCGTCTATGTATACATAGGTACTTACTTACTATAAAATTTTGTCGCACAATAAATTAGAGATGGGAACGAGTTAACAAATTGATAAGTTTATAATTATTCTAGTGGTTAGTGCGGTGCGGTCTAATTTGAGTATAGCATGTGGCGCGATGAGCCCGTAACACCGCGGGAATTGTCCACTCGGAGAATCCCAGACGGACACCAAATGTTAATACAGTTCCGCCCATGCACACGGACATTAAGCATTTCATTATCAAAACATAACAGTAACACTCACATTTATATGTATGGAACTACTAACCTTGATGCAGTATAAGTTTAAATATATTTCTTACTGAAAGTCAAAATCGTTTATTTATTTTAATTTTTTTTATACCTGATGGTAAGCAATCGGCGTCGCCCATGGCCACCTGGAACACCAGAAGGGTTACAAGTGCGTTACCGGCCTTCTGGGGATTAGGAGTTTGAGGATCGTTGGGGATTCAGGGATTAAGGAGATTGGGGAAGGGGAGGGTAATTGGGCCTCCGGTAACCTCACTCACACGACGAAACACAACGCAAGCGTTGCTTCACGTCGGTTTTCTATGAGGCCGTGGTATCACTCCGGTCGAGCCGGCCCATTCGTGCCGAAGAATGGCTCTCCCACACTTGCAATTAGACCCGCTTTTGAATGTCAACAAATAATAGTAGGTAGACGAGCTGCTTATCTAAGGCTAAGGTATCTATTTATTTTTACTCTCATTGCTATTTAGCAATATACAGAACTTACTTATTATTATATTAAAACTTTTTATAATAGGCGATGTTGTCTATGAGAGACAATGCCCTTCAAATAAATAAAAAAACTTTTAAAATGAATTTTTATCTCGATGATCACTATGATTGCGATTTTGACGTATCTAAACACAGTAACAGAAATCCGACTTATACAAATAATATGCAAATAATATTAATCCGTCAGCCGTTTAAATTTAAGTTGACTCATCTTTAATTTTCGTTGTTTCAGTATACATTACAGAATAAGACTTCGAAATGGGTTTAGGAAAAAAACAGATGGAGCAGCTGGGAGCATTTTCTTTATCGGCAGCGGCGTATGGAGTTGGTTCGTTAGTCGCTCTACTCTATGTCACTGAATGGAAAGCGGTTTGCAAATACATCCCTTTTTATAATATGGCAGAAAAGTTTCAAGATCCTTTACCTCCACCTAAACCAAAACCTACATAATGTAAAGAAGCAGTCAAAACAATAGTCTATGACAGGCGCTTGATTTATACAATGTATATTATGAAAAGCTAGTTGTGTTCATATAAAGAGAGGGCAAGCAAGGAGCACGCGCCCGACATAATACAAAGTAATCTGGAAAAGAATGGAATTATAATAATGAGTGGTGTTGGCATCAGGTGTGCTTGGATTTGTAATAAAATGTCAACCGGATCGTGCGCAGCCGGCGGTGGCGCACGCGCAGCTGTCGGCCCTCCTCCGGGCCTCCAGTGAGGTGTGCCCTCTGAATACACACTACTTTTCTATTGTATTGTAATACTTTTTTTTGGTATTCAACCATTTTCATGGAGCGATCAAATAAAAAAGATTACTTACAATAATGTTTAAGTGTATTATTTACTGAGTCCCTGCTTAGGTAGCAAAGCAGTAGCTAGCACCGTATACATATGTCGGTTATTAATATCAATTTCAGTATTACGTATTACATACGAAAATGTATGAATTAGGTACTTCGAAACAGAACGTAATGACGATTAGTGCAACCTGCTGGGGACAACTGTGAAGATATTATATAAGGAGTCTGGTGCCTAGGTCGGAACAACATGTAACCAGAGTAGTAATGTAATAAGAGTTTCAATTTTTATGGTGATAAATAACTAGAATATTAAATCAGTATTAGGTACTCTTTCGTTAATTATGTTTTTAGTATTGTATGAGCTTTTTGATTGCTTATCCCTATACTTATTACATTCTTTGTTACCTATGTAACAACAGGATTACACAATACATGTTTTGTGCAAATTACCGAAAAATAATAATATTATAAATTACCAAACAAGAATAATCAAAACTTTCACGAAACTGGTTCGACCATTTATTGGCAATTAATTAAAAATAGAGCTTTTATGGTAAATGCCTATTTGTATATAACTAAGTGGTTTTACATGTGAACGTGCTTTTGTAGTATGAATTAAGTAGCTATAAAAGTACTAATAAAGTTCAATCTTAGGTACTACCTTAAGTAGATCTTAAATTAACTTACATTGTTATACTATAAACCGACGACGCCGACGTTGTTAAATTTCTAAAATGCATAATAACTCATATGTAAGAATAGTCGCGGAGTTGCACGTTATGATAATGATGTACATACATACATATATAATTTTACGCCTCTCTCTCATGGGGGATGATGATGCCTAATTTTTATTTTACTGACCGTCTGGTAGATTATTTTAAATCATTAGACACATATTTTTTATTTTCTTACAGAAACGAATACTTTCGACGATATATTGATTTGAAATGTCGCTTGACGTCATTTCTATGTACATACAGTTTATACGTAGAAATTAGAAATGACGGTTTGGCCCCCACTCCTAAACTTTAATTAGTTTTATCTAAGTATTGTTTTATTACTTATACGGCAAAATAAAAAAATACGCGTCTAATATTTTTTCATTGCCTAACTTACGGACTAATTATATTTTTAATTTTCATACCCTGTCAATTGCTACGATTCTTACATACCTCTTTCGCTTCATCAACAGCCACTTATATTTTGATAATGATGTATTTTCTTTATTAAGTGGAATCATACATGTTATTAAAAAGAAAGCGAAGTTGTTTATATTATTCTCTAAACTTTCGAAGTATACACATAAACCTGTGATGCCTGAAATACGTGACTACATAGTATAGAACAGAGTTGCTATCCGCCATCGTACATGGGACTCATAACATAAATAGTGAAAAGTGGGTGTTACATTGTAAGTAGCTACAGTAGCATTAAGAGCCGTAAATGTGCACCTCTGCCTACCCCTTCGGGGATAAAAGGCTTGATGTTATGTATGTACTATAGGTAATATAAAACATAATATAACGTTACGTGGCTTGATTCCTGAATCGGTATTCGGTAGGCAGTGGTTTGGCTTTACGGTTGGCGCAGTTGTTGGACAATTGGCTGCTGCACAAAGTGTCACGAGTCGATTCCTATTGACCTTACTCTGAGTGTTATGAATGAGTATGTAAATTTGTATGTTTATGCACGCATTCGATACGTAATGTTACACTTAGGTATTTTTTACCAGTATTGTGGGACCCATGTTAGTGATGCGGGGTTAACCTATCACTGTCTTCCAGGCAAAATTTCAGAAACTTCATGCATACTGAGACACTTTGTCTTACCCATGAATCGAACTCTAGACCTCTCACTTAGCATTCGCGCTAGGCTAGGCTAGTTATACAGGTAACGGCGTAATAAATGTATTTTTTTATATTTATCTACAAATTAATTTATTGGTTTGATAGTAATATATTTAAAATATTAGTAGCAAGAATAATGATAGCTCAGGCAAGCAGGTAACTACATGGGTATATCGTGGGTATATCTTTAACCTATATAGGTATCATTAACCTGCCATATGTATATGCATACTTTTTTAACTTTACCTATAAAATTACAAATAACACAGTCGAATAAGTAGATATATATTATTTGCGTACAAAGTATTATAAAGGGCAAAGCCACGGGTAAAAACTCTGTTCGTGACAGAGCTTTTTTACTTAAGTCGAAACTGGATCGTACTATGAATAAGACCCAGACTCGTCAAGGACCAAGGGCCACAATAGGGAGATCCAGAGGGGGGTGGGGTGCGGTGTGGAGCCGCGTTCCGACACAGCCCTATTTACTTTGTCTGTAGGCCGCTCCAAGAGCGGCTGTGTACGGTGCGCGCGCGCTTGCCCCTCGAGTTACGAGCCGAACTTGTAAACAAAGTGGTGAACGTCTCGCGTGAACTTCGAAAACTTTTTGTTATCCTTATCCGAACTATTTAAAAACTGTGGTGACTCAGTGTTAGTAGACTTGTGCTCGCTATGGATTTATCTTGTGGAGAAAACATGCAGAATTCTGGTAACAACAGTGCGAGTGGCAGGACGGTGGACATGTGCGTCGCTGGGCCGGACAGGGCTTTAGACCGGGATCCCAGGCTGCTTCTCAACTTGCTGGCGTTGGAGAGGGCACACGCTCTTCACACGGACTACTTCCAAAACGTTCAGATTGACATCCAGCCCTTTATGCGGAAAGTAGTGACCACCTGGATGTTGGAGGTAAGCCTACAATAAATACATTGAAATAACCCTTACACATTACATAATAATATTTGAGTAGTTGTCTATAATTGTTCAAAGCGTTATAAGAGCACAATAATTGAGATTGGCTGACTACCTACTGGGTCACAGTTAACAGCTGATTAGAGTGAATGACCTGAATATTACTATGGTATGTGCGTAGTTTGTCCAATTCATATCATGACCACGTATTGGTGATACTTAATAAAAGGCTGAAATTCCTAATAATATTTAATTACAAGAATTTAACCTTATCAATAAAATATTGACATACATCTTTTTATATTCTACGTTGTGGGTAGACAATCACCTTATCTTGCACCAAGAGAAAAATATAAAACAATAATGAGTAAAGTGTTAGGTATTTGATAAATCCTTTTAGAGGTCATTGTATTTTCACATTTAAAGGACACCAACCTTAGATACATAGTAATCTTATGTGAATTTTGTAAATAAATAATAAAATTAAATCTCCTGTTTTGTCTCAAAAAGACGAAAAGAAATCGTGCTATGCCAGTCCCACCAATTCACCATGATTTGGTTTTAATACGAGATGTTTTCTGGAGTTCCTTGGTCGTCTTCTAATTTACGCACCGATGACAATGACCCCATCCCGTCACTCCACTGCACTGTGACGTAACCGCGTGGCCCTAATCTATCGTATAACATCAAGAAATATATAATTATTGTAAGAAAATTATAATTTGAAGTCATTAGACGTAGTTACTGGAGTGATGATACTTGTTTACTTCCATTCATCTAATCAGGTAACATTTTGTCCAGGTGTGTGAGGAACAACAATGTGAGGAGCAGGTGTTTCCCCTGGCAGTGAGCTATATGGACCGGTTCCTGGCGCATCGAGCTATCTCGCGGCAGCAGCTGCAGCTCCTCGCTGTCACCGCTATGTTAGTCGCCTCCAAGTTCCGCCAGTGCCACCCACTTTCTGTCGACTTGCTTTGCGCATATACCGACAACACAGTGTTTCCTCAAGAAGTCAGGGTGAGTGTAAATAATAATTATTTTTTATAGGTCTCTTAAAGTAGTCTTAAGATTTCTGGCCAGCGATTACCGACCTACCTCTATCACTCAATGAAATCAACGTAGACAACACGTACACGTCTTTGATTTTATCGTACCATTGAAATACAGATTGTTTCCTTCGTCGTTACCTTACTTACCTAAATAAAAATTCGAGTAGCTACTAACTTCGACGTCCGGCACCAGACATCCTGTCACAAAACTTAATTGTTGTTTTGATTCTGCTGTGAATGAACTTCGATTAGTCGAGTCAAATGTCATTTCTCCACCCCAAAGGTACATTTCCTTACACCATACCAGTTTCCGGCAATTACTCCTTCCTCAAGAAAGTCAAGAGGGCTTTTAAGACTGTCACCCTTATTGTGTAGCCACAGCCTGTGACGAAGTAAAGCACCGAGCTGGTCGCTCACTTGCTTCCGACGGAAATGTGGGCTACAAGATACGATACATGGCCAGTTAAATTAGAACTAATTTAAGTAGCCGTCATTTTTACTTCTTTAATGAGGTGAGGTTATTGCACTCGGTATTTTTGGTTGGTGAGATTAAAGGGAACCGAGGGCTACTCCCAATACCGACGCATTATTATAAAACCCATTGGAGGTTTTGTGTTAAACATTCCCACAACTAACCGTAATGACAAAATTGTCATAATCGTTCACACCCGCACAGACAGGTGCGATTCGTTGTCACCCATGAGGTTGCCCTTTGTAATCAATTTTGACTTTGTCACCTTGTTCACACGCTTCTGTGTAATGTAAGTTCTATGAACCTGTAGTTATAGAAAATATATCATCTACTGCAGTTTCAGAAAACTACATACTTGTATAAAGCATGGTTGATTATTACCGGTGCATACATACTTTGAAATATTTGGATCCAAAAATACGTATTCCGTAGACAGGGCATACCTGACCTTCTATTAAATTATAAAAATAAACGCCAGATGCGAAAGTAAAATAGCATGTATTTACCGTGAGAACGAGTTTCGTCATTCCTTCAGTGCGTATGACACCGTGGAATGCTCTGTATTTCCTTGCTATTAATTCGTGCGATGATCGCGATACGACTACACCACGCATACTTAATGCTGTCATATGGTGCGGGCCGAACCGCTTTCCCATACTTAGGGATCATTACTTAAATATTCACGAATGCCATCACTAAAACTTATCAGACATTAATTAAAATAATTTAAACTGAATATTTACTAACATACTTAATAGATGCCGTTTAATTTAGAACATACTTTATCTATTGTCTTTAAGTTTTCTACTGTTCTAAAAGCACCATACTTATTTGGTTTCCTAAAGGCGTTATTGTTAAAGCATCTTAAATATGCATGGCCACATAAATCATAGTTATCTGTCCCGGGCTTTTCGGTTTATTGAACTCGAAAACTCACCAAAGACGGTCGAAGGATGGATGGCGTTCACCCCGACTTTATCTAAATTAGTACATTTGTTGTTTTGAATATAAACAAGGAATCGCTTTACTGCCCTTATTATGTCAGTGGCCATGTGAAAAATATCAGCAACGGAGGGTTTCATTGTCCCTTGTGTTTTCTTATGACATTTCTAAAGTAATTGTAATGTGATTCGCTACTTTTTGCGGTTTCCGCCTAACCCATCAAGTATGACGGTTACGTATCAACTGTTTAGAATAGGCAGAACATCCCTAACTAACAAATGAACAGGGAATTTGTTTATAGGTAAGAAAGCATACAGTTATTCACACGGGGTCGTGCCCTTTGGGAATAATTAAATTTAAAAGCGAAACGACCGTCGTTTATATCGCATTTTTTTTTTGTTATAGGAATGGGAAGTGATGCTCCTTCAACGATTGAACTGGCAGTTGTCTATTGCAACAGCCTTCGACTTTGTGGAGCCGTTCCTTGCGCGAGTGCCGTGGGGTCGCACCAACCCGCTGGTCAGGACACATGCGCTCACGCTCACCTCAGTATGCTATACTGGTAAGTACAGAGTTACACAATTTTTATTGCTTAGGTTATTTATGAGATAGCAAGTAAGTATTTATTTCAGCAACAATAAATTTCCAGCAAAATCAGCCGCTATGCGGGTCGAAGTAACTTCCTGCAGTAGCAGTAATTAAGTCAAATCGATAAATGCCATTTGGTGTCAGTTTTTTTACAAATTGTTCAGGTTTTAGCTTAATGGTTATGTTGGAGGCTCCCTTTGTTTTAGTATGTGATTGTCGAATCGTAGTCGGGGTGTAACGATGTAGCATGGGGTGTAGGGAGTGGACGCGTGTATCGGAACGCGCACATGCCGTTTGCGCCGTGATAACGCGCACACCTTGCGCCTGCGCACCCCTCAGCCACTGACCCTCTCGCACTCCTATTATAAATACACGAATGACCTCACTTTTTCAAATTATGCCATTACAATTTCAATAGGTGTGGAGGTATTACGATTTCAAATTTAATGTTAAACCTGTTTTCGTATTAAACCTTACGAGCAGTAAAAAATCTATAAAGAGGACACGTGGCGAGCGATTTATGTACTTACGATTTACATGTGTAGTTAGGTACTTCATTTATTGTGCGTAAAGTCGTAAAATAAGAATAGATTAAGATCGTTTCGCTGAGATGAAATAAGACCATGTCCAATTTAAAGCAGTTAAGTGGTGGTTTTGTGAAATAACCTGCTGTTATATAGGTACCTTTAGAGTGCTTATATTCCCTGAAATAATTAACTTACCTATGTACAGCCATCATACGGACTAGTTAGACGTTAACCACCAATGACCCCTTGACATTACCTCCTCAGGGAGGGTTGCGCTTTTCCGATCACTGAACACAATAAAAACTAGTGGAAATTACTAATTCATATTAAGTTCGTTGCTTGGTTAAACACATGACCTTTATTTAGCACCTTCGTTGCTTTAGTATAAAAAACCGTAATAAAGCTACTAAATATTTCCGGTTGCTTTAAAGCATGCAACGTACATATTTACATGTGTCTTAAATTAATATTTATAAAAAACAATGGTATTATTTTTTAAGTAACAATCTATTAGAGGTAAATAAGATTAGTGTCTGTTTGTACAGCATTTTATTACATGTATATATGAATATACATACGATACAAATACCAAAATGACATGTCTGTCTGTCTGTCTGTATGTTTGTACTGGCTAATCTCTGGAATGGCTGGACCGATTTTGCAACAATATTGGCAGGTGGCTGATGTACTAAGGAGTAATATAGGCTACTTTTATTTTGGAAAATTAAAAAAAAATGTGATAAAATGCATATTCTACGCGGACGATGTCGCAGCTAGTAGTAAAATATAATCAGTTGAGATTTTCGATATTTTTTAATGTGTTCAGTTTACACAGTTTTTTATATCAAAACTTAACTTCATATATATATTTGTGAAATACCTAAAGGACAGTTTTAAGTAAATAATCGAGTTACCAAAAACAGATCAGTGACAAAATGGGATATTATCGTGATAGTTAACCCTGTCCGCCCCTATGGTCCATCGAATCCCGATAAAAGTTATTTATAGCCACCACTTGCTTGCCGTCTGGCACCCTCCATTGGTCCAATGATATTATTTCAAAGTTTTTCATGCATCATCTGTTGTTTCATACAATCTCTGATTATTTAGATTAAACCTTATAGGTGCCTACTTATAAAGTTCATACTGTTTGTAATAATACTTTCCCAAGTTGGTTCTTGAACGACTCGATATAATGCAGAAAAAGCTAGTTATAGCTTTTACAGTTACTTAATTAGAATACCGTTAAGCGAATTTATAGCGCAAAAGTTGCGAAGTAAACTTACGGGTAAAACTGCACGACTTACAATAGAAAGTGAATGCATTGAAAAGGGTCTAAATGACAAAGTGCTGTTTTGAATGTAGTTATAGTACAAGAGCCGGTCAACTATCAGTTGCATCTATTTAGCTTGAATGATTGTAAACAGAAACGTTTCGTGTAGCGGGGCGTCAAGTTTTGTCGGTGTCGCCGGAAGTAGCATAATTGCCGGTAACTGATCGTGCATTACCAGAGGTGTGAAAGGGTTAATAACATTACTTGACCCTAAACTCCTTCATCTTTTTAAAGCTTTATAATTACTATGATCATAATAATGCGAATAGAGGGCTACCAAGAAAGTAAACGCAATATTAAAACTCAGATCCAATTCAAACGTGTCTTGCCAACCGTAAAATTTTAAGACTACTTTTATGTAATATTCGTGTAGCTGCAAACAAGATTTATATTGAGTACAACTTGTGCTGTTTGACCGGACTAATTTCTTGAAGTAGTGTCACGGCTACGGTGACTTATGAGACTAGTCGGCGCGTACGCAGGGGAGCGCTCGGCGACCGCGCCAGCTGACTCGGGAACAATATACGAAGAAGTCCCGCGGCTATTGTTCTGCGCCCGAATCCCTGTCCCAAAGTCTTGACAAAAGCTGTGCGACAAAGACCCGTCTCGGCGCGCACCTGGTCGCACACCACCCTATCTCACCCAATAAGCCGCACATCTCCACCGAACAAAATCTTAACGTATTACCTCGCGAGATTCAAACTTCCGTTTCCAACATCCGATCTAAAGGCTAATGATCGGGTACCTCTACTTTTAAAGCCTTCTTTCTTTGTAATTCGATTCTATTGTTAATAAAACGGATGTAATAAAAATGTAAACTGTACCTACTCAAATTAACATATGACGTGTAAAGTAAACCATTGATCGAACCCAACATTTGAATAAGACATTAAATCTTACTATTTGCAATAAAATAATCATAACCCGTTTAACGCACAATTAGATGAACTATTTGCAACCCCTGCGTTTTTGCATTTATTTGCTAGTTGGGATTCACTATTAGGGTGGAGCTGACAGGTTTCTCAAACGGAACTTAACGGTTCTTAATGTCTGTTGAGTGTACGGTCTATGTGAATGCAGTTGTGGTAATTAGAAGGGTAAGACGCGGGGGTGTAAAGTCTTCGGGTCGCTAGCAGTCGCGTGGGCCGGCTCAGCAGATGTCGGAGCGCTAACTGACAGTCAACCTGTCGCGCAACGGATCGTGACGCACCGCTGCTCATGCTGACCAGATCAGAACTGATACGTAACTCGCGAACATATTTGATTTTTAATAAGTTACTGGTCCATAGAAATGTACTTTAAACAACGACCTTTTTGTTTAACATGCCATTTCAATGCTTCGTTGCATTACGAATGGTCAATTAACAACTACTAGGTGACACGTATGGTACTATAAGTACTATGGTGCTTAGGAAGTGTAACGCCTGCAACGGACCTAAAGTTCTAGCCTGAATTCATTGACCTGCCAGACACGAGCTAGTGAGGTTGAGTAACATAAATAACGTTGATTAACATTATGAAGCGCTCGCGTGTAGCGATATTGTTTTTCTTAAGGAATAACTATGATGTATAGTGTATAAGGGCACGCTGGAGTAAAGAAGGGTGCATGTTGAAGGTGGGCAGTGACCCTACGCTAGTGGTATGGTTGGCGGAGGTGCGAGCGGAAGGGTCGCGCCAGGTGTCCTCACATCTGCCGTCTTGGCTGACGTCGTAGTACACCCAAAGCGACTTGAAGTTATATTGTATTGACTTGTGACGCTCCAATGCCTATACCGTTAGTAATATGATAAACATGCCGATACCATTATGATTCAGCAATGTATTATTGCACTAGAATTTGTACATTAAGAAATCTTGATTTTGAATTGTGGGTCAATTGTGCTAAATTTAAGGGCGTGTATCGACGACAAATAATATTGATTAGGCGAATTGTGATCGAAGTTACATTTGAAATCAGTACAAAAACCCTACTCTCCTTCGAAGCGAACTGCAGCTGCGCCCTTAGCTAGACGACTTAAGATGTAAATTACCATTATTCCCAGTCTATTGTCCCGGAGTAGGTACACAAAGATGCAGACGGGGACGCAATGCACAAATCTGGCAGCTGTTCGGTTCGCCTTCCTCATTCTCATATATAACAAAAGAGTTCTTGTATTGTGCAAAATGTAACGCGAGTTTTTTTTCCACCAGGCATCGAAGATGGAAACATTTTTTTCGTGAACTATTGCGTACGAGAATGGTATCTTACTTAAGTTGTTTGGTTTTATTTTTAGATATACCTATAATGATTTAGATCTTGACCAGTGAGTAGGTTATAAGATGTTAATAATGTTCGGCCGGAGCACGGTGCGGATGACAGGACGCTAAGATGCAAGGTGTCTGTGCCACCTGTCCGCACGCCGCGCCGCGGTAATTATCCCGCAACAGATGTGCACGCTCTGACACTACCTGCGTCTTCGTTCTCCGAATGTACAGAATTTCGATATAAAAACATGTAAACAAGAAACCCGTTTTAAAGTAACCTTCAAGAACGCATACTTGGTTTAAGTTCATACCCAAACAAAGTATTAAACAATTTTAAAAAGCGATCACGATCACCTTAATTTTATTAAATTTTTGTTATTTCTTTGTCAACAGAGACCGAGTTTCTACTCGTACCTGCTTCTTTAATTGCTGCTGCGTGTATCACGGCAGCAGCTCGTGGATTGCGTGTGCGCATGTCGGTGAGTGAGTTGTGTGCCCTGACGCGCACACCGTCCGCGGCCGCTGAGCTGGTGGCGCGCCACGTGGAGCGTGTGTTGGCCCGGGAGACGCAGCCTCAGGAACCCAGGACCAGACACGCCCAGCCCTACAAACAAAATACATCAGAACAGACACAACTGCCAGATACTCCTACAGACGTGCAAGACGTACATTTCTAAAAGCTGACGTTGGACATACTTTATTTTGTGTCCAACGACTGCACAGTCTGTTTAGATATCGTACAAAACCAACTACCAAAATCAAACGATCTCAATATTTATGAAATGGATTGCATTGTTACGTATAAACATTTTTTTATTTCGTGCACCTGGATCCACAAGAGAAGACCCGTCGAAAAGCAAAAAATGCGTCTTTTAATGGAAAAGGTTATGTCAAATCTTGTACAATATAGATATGAAAAGTTATGTAGGAGAATTTATTGTTCATTGATCTCAAATTATTTATGTGAAATATTAACATTAGATTAGAATAATGTTATTTATTGTAAAATAGATTCATTTATATGAGTTTCTTAGGGTTGCAACAAAGATATTTTTGTTTGACATTATAAACTAAATATTGTATTGTTTGATCTCCGATAATTCCAAATGATTAGAAAGACTGAACGCATTTTTACATTTATTAGCAAACACCTAAAGACACCGAAGCAAACTACAGACACCAAAATGTGTATCTGTATCAGAATAAAATTACCCTCGACAACTCCAATAAGCGGATAGACATGATGTATATTTTGTATTGATAGTGTTGTGTGTATTAACTTGTAAGATCTCATTTTATAGTAAATTGAAGTTTGACCCTTTTCGTGAAGGGAGGTGTGTTTAGTATTCTCTGATATTAAATGAACATGTTAAATATTGTAATATTTATTTAGGTCAACGTTAAGTTTTAGTAAATTCTAGTCAAACGTTTTACACATTCCTGTTTTCGACCAAACATAATGTTTAGATGTATAGAATGAACTTGTGTAAGTAAGAATTATTGTTTAAGTAATTAGTATGTTTTAGTTTGTTTGGCAATTGTTACGAAAGCCGATAGAATACTCATCAGGGAGGCGGTGGAAGTTCTACTGTTAGTTAATGTATAGACAATTAAATTTCCTCGCTCGTAATTAGTATGTAACTGTATTTATCGGGAGGCGGTGGGAGTAAGGGAGAGACTTGCATAAACACCATAGAGTAAGTGATAGAGCGGGCGGAGCGCGGCGGCGGCGGACTCGACGAGCGGAGCGTTACGTTACGCAATGTTAATTATACTAATTGTAATAAATTAATAGGTGAACTTTCAAGTTTCTCTCTTTATTCCGTCTTGGCCCGATGTAAACTTTCACAAAGTTTAAAAAAATATGGAAGTCCGTGCAACTGCGTAATTTTTAAAATTACCTCCAATTGAAATTAGACAACTAACGAATGTTTGAATGATACTCTAGCTTTTAATTATTGTGGTGTTTGTATCCCTCATTTACTTTTTGTATTTGTATTTTCTATCATTGTTGTTTGAATTAATTTGTTGATAACTTTAACTTGGTTAGGTATAAAAGATTTGATCAATGTTCAAATGAACTTGTACCCTAAATTCACAAAAAGAACTTTGTCTTATATTCCTAATTATGAAATTTCTATTTTAATTGAAGTGGTTATCTACAAGATGTGGATACACGACGCCTTGACATGTTTATCTTTCCATCGTGAACATTTTCAAAAGGTTAATCAATTTTATTATAATTTTTCTTTAAAAAAGTTGTAATTATGAGGAAAAGATTGATATAAAATCACTGGAGTAAATTGTTGTTCATTAATTTGTAATTAAGGCTTTGTTTTAAAGATCGATTGTGTTTAGGTACGTATATTTAATAAGTATTCTATAGTGTATGGCGCAGCCATAGGTTGGCTACTTATAATTTAATGTATAGATTTATAATAAAAAAGAAAACAAAACTACTTATTGCAACATTTTATTTTCAAATCATACCTATCATTTCTCAATTCATAACATTCAACATGTAGATGTCAGAACTGAAGAACACAAAACCTCCCGAAAGCTTTTATATTTTACTGAAACCCAAGTACATTTATTATCTGGTTTCGGTTTTATTATTGAAGAAGTAAAAATACTATAAAATCAAAATAAGTACCTATCTTAAAACGTAACAAATAAATCGTTTATTCCACAAAAAGGTTGAATGTCTTGGCTAAAGTGTTTGGAGAACATAGATTTCGCACCAAATTGTTTTAAAGCCGTAATTTTTATTGTAATAAAGGCCGGTGGTATAATTCTTTAATTCGTTGTGTTTGCTGATTGTTTGTTTCTCAGGTAGTAGGATCAAGGCGCAGGTAAAACACAGCGTTGAAGTTACCAGAGTCACCAGTAATAATGGCCTGGCATTCATACCCATAACGGAACTTTTATTGCCTCTGATACGTACACTGATAACACGATACCATAATAAATTACACGTCCTACCGCAAGAAGTAGTAAGCAAGCAGTGTAAACGTTGACGATTGATTTCTTAATAAACTTGGGCCCAATTTGGCAAAGGATATGCGGCTGTTTATAGATATACAGATTGTACGCAGATTTATCATAACAACTTTTTCTAAAAAAAAAAAAACTTGTGAAAATGCATTATAATCGGGAAAAAATTACTATTCCATGGTATTTTTATCTCGAAAGAGTGCATAATACTCATGTTATAGAATTTTACAATCAGTTTTCTATTAAGTCGATACTATCATCGGCCAAAAGGTCAAGAATAGTCAGTAATCTAAAGTTTTGTGCATCAAATATAAAATATAGTAATTGTATGATAATTACCAAAAATATGCACATAGAATGTTATAATTGGGGCTAGAAGTAAAATTCTAACGTCACAAACATTTGATATTACGCCAAATTAATGGTGCTTTTTGAGGTTGAAATCATTTGGCAGAAAGCCCACGGGAAGTGTCAGTAATCTATACATATAATAAAATTGTAGAAAAGTGCTGTCTGTACATTGAAAATAAAAATAAAAAAAATAGCAGGGGCTATTGTTATGTCGATGTCGAACCCAAAAATGTAACTAACTTTTTTTTTTGTCTGTTTGTCTGTTTGTCTGTTCACGCTAATCTCAGAAATGGGTTATAATTATATATTTACATCCTAGAACCTTTTTGGCGTCATGCACGTCGCGCAACATTACGACGTCCCCCAGTTCCCCTTAATTTTTTTAATATGACTTGATGAATATTGCTTAGTTATTCGATTTCTAACTTTGTAGGATACGTCATTTTCCGATAATTTTATTTTTCACGATATTCTTCTTGCAGTCATGCTGCAACATTTTTGAACCCCAAACAATGGTGATAACAAATTGGGCTCCTAGATATATTGATCGTGATTTAACCATGGCATCGGCTAATTAACGTCCCCACACCGTGGATGGTATTTGCGAGTGCAACGTTGCCAGCTTTGTGTTCACTTGTCTCTTTCTTTTACTATCACTCGTCTGGTAGTACAAAATTTCAACATTATTCCAATATTCACAAAAATTATCGATACATATATCAATGCCCGGATTTGATATAATAATGTTATCTACTAGTAGGTGCCTACTTTATATTATTCTATCAATGTTGTTGGAATGAG